ATTGTTTAGATATTATTTGATATTGTTAAGATATTGTTAGATATTGGTAATCACAATATCAAACAATATCTTCTGTTTATTCTATTACTTTCAGTTACTCTTTTAGTTGTATCTCTCTACTATAAATAGACCACCCTATGTGTGATTTATACACAAGAAAAATTAATTTCAAACTCTATTTTCTCTATATTCAACAATATATATATATATAAAAGGAAGAAAATATTTAACTAATCCATAATATTAAAAACAATTAGGTTAATTAATTCTTTAACAAATTATTAAAAAAAAAACACACATAAAACTTGGATATATTATACATTATATTTATATATATCATTGACAAAAAATAAACTATTTACAATCAATATATTTACATTAGAACATCATATAACATAACTAATGTAATCAATTTCTAGAGTCATTATTCATAAGACTTCTCACACATAGTATTTGTATAGAATGTACTATCGTGAAGATTAGAACAACATAAAAAAATATATAAAAAATTAAACTCTCAAGTAAAATCATGGTTATCAAAATCGGATCGACCTAGGTTTAATCGGTTGGATCTGGAATCGGACCGACCGGTTTAATCGGTTAGACTTGGAATCGGTTCGGAGTTCTCTAAAAACTAGACAAATAATGAATTAGTAAAAAACTAGTCAAGGTGCCATCCGGGTTTTTTTTTTTTAAAAAAGGGTTAAATGACATTGTTTTATCCTATATTTTTGTACTAGTGGTGATATTCTTCTTTTACTACCGTCTTCGTTCTTACAACTGTCATCGCTACTATCACCCCTATCATTGATTGTCTCCTTCCCACGTCGCTCTTGGTGTCATCGTTATCTAATATTGTCATCACTACAGTTATTCATAAAAATACAATAACAGGTAAGAATCACAATCTCTTCATTTCGAAAATTAATTTGATGAATGGGCAATTAATTATGCATTGAGTTATCCTCGGGTTCCATAACCATGCCTTGAAATAAAATAAAATGTATACATTTGAAGTTAGATGCAATGGAAGATATGGTGCAATTTTTCCCCTTAATTGTTTTTAAGTTAGATGTAGTTTTTTTTCCTAATTATTTTCAAGTTAGTTGTAGTTTTTCCCCTAGTTATTTTCAAGTTCGGTTCAACAACAATTTTTTCTATAATTGTTTTGTACTCCAAGCGTTTGATGATATTACTTTTCTTTATGTATTCTACAAATCATTCTTATTATTATATAATATTTTTTTCAAATTACATTTATATTGGATTAGAATTGTTATTACATTATGATAAATTTATTTTAAGTTCAATATATTATTATATTATTAAAATATATTATTTTATTAAACTCGGTTCAACTCTAATTTAATTCTCAATTGAATCTTTAAATCCTAAATTTATATATTTACCGATTTAATAACCTGTCTGATTTTAAGAATCATTACTAAAATATACTCGTTTACTCGCAATTTTAGACTATACCAAATCTCCTCTAAGAAAATTTTATAGAGTTCTATATTCATCAACCAAGTATTTTAATTATCATTTATTGATTATAATCCATACATTAAATTGTTCCTAATTATTTTTTTATCTTTTAAATGAGACTAAAAATTATAAGTGTTTTCAATTGGATTTGTTTTCTTCAGTAGCATGCTATTAAATTTATAATTCAGAAATAACATCATTTTATCAATATTTACCTAACTAGCACTATTTTTCCATACACGATCGAATTCGATTCCTAGGAGGCTGAATTTCGACCTTACTAATTAATATAATTTTTAAAATAAAATAATATTTATTAAATATAATAATTAAAATATATATATATATATATATTTTAAATTTATTTATATAATTATATGAAATAAATATAAATATATTTATATAATTATATTATTAATATATTTTTATAAATATAATAAAAATATTTATATATTTCTATAAAAAAATATTATTTTTACTTATTAAAATTATTTTATATTAAAAATATATTTAAATAATATATATAATTTATTTATGTAAAAATGTTATATAGAAAGATATAAATATATATTTATTAAATTTTATTATATTTATAAAAATATATTAATAATATAATTATATAAATAATTTTTTTAAAAGATATATATATATATATATATATATATATATTTATATTAAATATACATATATATTTAATTATTATATTTAATAAATATTATTTTATTTTAAAATTATATTAATTAGTGAGGTTGGAATTCGGTCTCCTAAGAATGGAATTCCAACTGTGTAAAAAAATTGTACTAGTGGTAAATATTGATAGAATAATGTTATTTCTGGATTATAAATTTAATAGGATGCCAGTGAAGAAAAAAAATTTAAAATGTTTGATTTTTTATAAAAATGCGTTACTTATGTAAATATTACATACAATATGCTATATATGAAAAATTATATTAAAATAATGCTAAACGGGTAAATAAATCATTTAATTGACACGCTATAAGAAACAAGAATTTTAAAAAAGTTATATAAAGGAAAAATATTTCTAAGTGAGATTCTAACTTCACGTAAAAGATATAACACAAATTTTCTTTTTACTTATAGACTTTTTAACAAATATTATCTATAAGAATTAAGGAAGAAGTTTGTAGTTTTATGTTATCATTACGTGTTCTGCATTAATTTTTTTGACATTTAAGAATATGATCGTTATAAAAAAATATTTTTTATATTCTATAGAAATATATTTTTAATATCTCAAAATTTTCCTCTGGAAAATCTTCATCCAATAATGATACATAATATTAAAAAGGAAATACAATATAATATAGAGCATATTTATAGTAGAATATATTTTTTGTTTTATATAGAAATAATATATTTGATTATAGTGAGTAGAAGGTTAGATAAGAGATTTATTTTAAATTTAATTCTCATACAATCTTTTATATAATTTTATATCATATTACAAAATTAGTTTTAACCCACATATAATCACTTTTTATTTTTGTCATATTACAAAACTTATTTAATTTTATATATTTTGATTTTAAAATTCATTGTATAATTTTATTATTGATTATACAAATTCTTTTGATTGACAACATGTTAGACGTTGAATTTTCTCTAAGAGAATCTGACTGTGAATCACACAAAAACCATGAAGAATAAATTCATAAAAGGATAAATATTGTTTAATACTTTATCTTCTTATTATGCTTAAATTTAAACAGTCTATTATTCATATATAGAAAGTTACATTCTAATTAGACATATCATTCTTATCAAGTTACTAGTTAAAACAATAATATCGATTTAAATAATAAATGATTATTTAAAACAATATTCCTATATCATATTTTTAGTTTAATAATCACAACCATACAATGATTTCTAAAATATTAAGAGTTAATTTTAAATTTATAAGATTTATCTCTATTACACTACAAAATATGTCTAAAAATAATCAAAAAATTAATTTTTAAAGAATCGAAATATATTTTCTTAATAAAAAAATTAAAGATTTTTGTTAGCCCGTGATCCCAATAGGCCCTCCTCTGCCAACAATGAAACTTCTTCTATTTTAATCAATTGATATTACATAATAAATCCAATAATTCAATACATATACCACAGGCACTTATATAATAATACCATATCTATAATTATTGAATTACACTACATCTTAACACATCAATTCAATTATCAAAATTCACCATTTACATTAATATTATACTTTTGTACCATACTTATAAATAAAGAAGTATGGGAATGGAGCACATACTCATTAGTGACATTTTTCATAAATTTTAATTATTTTTTGGGAATGCATTGTTTTAGTGAAGAAAATATATGTCAAATCTTTCTCATTAAGTCTTTTGCTTAAACTTATAATATTTTCCCTTTATCAAATAAATTATGAACCAGAATCTTAATGCTTTTTTTTTTTTTTCACTTGAGTGATTAAATAATCATTTGAGTGAATTATGAAAATAAAAATTTACCTACATAGAAATCATAGGTTGACAAAAAACTTATTTGAATTTCATCAATATAACTTAACCTTGCAAAAACACTCTACACCTAAATCCCAAGCACATGTATCAATTTTTCATTCTAAATATTCAATTTTTTTGTCTAGTAAACCCAAGCCTTCACTTACTATCCTTACACTGCTATTTCAGATTTATTAGAAAAATTTGGATGGTATATTTACTGGTATCTTTTCATTTTACTTCTACATGATTAAGTTCAACAACATCACTAAGCCACTTATTATTAAATGTAGTCTATGTTTTCAAATTGATAAACTTTAAACATAACTTGGGAATATATGTTCAACATATGTTGAATATACGTGGAGTTTAATTAATTATTATTTTTTATTTAATGCATGTTTATATATTAATTATGCTATTTTAGTTTATTAATTTATCTTTTCTCTCTATATTTTTTCCATAAGAAAATTTGTTTTACTTGATTATTTATAATATTCCAGTAACTTAATATATTACTTTTTCCGAGTCTTATATAGTCTAATAATATAAATGACTAATTATTATATACATATAAATATGTTAAGAATATTATTATAAGTTCATAAGTGTACAAATATATAAAAGTGAAAGAAAATAATTTTTTTACAACTTTTTTTAATCTTAAATTTTCTTTTAACATATATGAAAAATATTGATTATCATCAAATGTGTTGATATTTAATGTTAAAAAATCTAATAGTAATGATTAATAAAACAAACAATATTTGAGATAATTGTATCAACACTTCAAAATTTTATTGTAATTACAGAACCATCTTCTCTCTTAATTCCCTTACAATTACATATCTTCATATTCAAACAACTATAATTCTATTTATAATGACACTAATATTCAAGAGAACTAGAATTTTCCAAATTATAGTACGATCTTATAACTTTACTTTTTCTCTCTTGCTCATGACTAAGTTACCAGGTGTGTGTTGTTGTCTGATAGAGAACATCTTCATGATGTTGTCATCTTGTCATCCCCTGAGGATCTGGATCTCTGTCCTCTACCTTCAATGATTCTGGTTCATGCCCTTCATGTCAAAATATCTCTTATGAATAAATAATGTTCTTATGAGCCCATGTTACATTAAAGTAAAAGGGAGGACTATCAAAATATAATAGATAAAAAAAAGAACATGTTACTTACTTTCATTCAAGACAACAGCAAGCAATCCTTCTGCATGACAGTAATTGATTAGAAAAAACAACAAGAAAAGCTAAACTTGGTAGAGAGTGAAAATTTAATTTGATGTTGAACAATACCACTCTTCTCATGTTGAGCCAAAAATTCAGCAAATCCCTCTATTAGATCTGCATATTTTTCCAGTAAATTGCTCACCTAAACAAATAAACCACTAGATGTTAGAAATAATCAAAATATTTAACACTTCCTATTTGCCTATAATCAATTCTTCATTTTCATATTTGACCGTCAAATGTTTTATTATAGATCAATATTCAATGTCAGCTGAATTATATTCCATTGTTCTGTTCTCAACAAAACCAGAAATGAAGCTAATAAAATTTAAATGCATAAACCATACCAATAATTGCAGTTCTTGTCTATTAATGATTTCCATGCTGTAGATATGTAGGTATTTCAAAAACTTCTGGAAATCCTCAGGATTTTGTAATTTCTTGTTGACTTCTTTAAGGTAATCTAACAACCGATTATAGATACCTGAGATAAACAAATAAATCATAAAAGAAAATAAGGAGTTCAAATTACTAATAAACAATAACACTAGTGAATAGAAAAGATTTTACAGTTTATATGGCCTAGATATTAAATACATAACATCTGTATTTCTCATTTTACATAATCCAATCAACAGGGAAATCATATTTTTTATTCCTGTACACAGAAAAGTGTAGACAATTTTTTTTTCATCAGAAATTAAATTACTTAGCAAATATTATTGATTTTCTTTTTTTCTATGTGAGATTGAAGTAGTACATGTTTCAACCGCTGAAATGTTTATATTTATATTCATTAAATTTGATTGAAAAGGTAAAAAGCATTCCTTAATTTAAAACTGGAAATATTGATGTACTTACCTTTCAAAGAACTTGGATCCTCAAATACAGATGCCGATGAATTAGAGTACGTGTGCTGGGAAAGTTGTTCATCCTCCCATGAAAGTGTAATTTTATATTCCTTTGACAAGAATTTGTTAAATCGTAAAATTAGATCTTTGTTCCCTTTAAACAGCTCCTTCAGTTTTGCTATGAGGCATGTTATATCAATTCTAGAAATGAACAGAAACAAATCATCAGATAACAAAATTCAGATCCTTGCTCCTAACAGAAAAAAAAAATGTTAGAGGTAAAGAGAATGTAGTAAAACATGTTCAAACCTTTCATCCTTGACATCCTTCATAACTTCCATAAATTCAATATACTTTTCTTTCTTATCTCGAAGTGCTACCTTTACTGCCTTGAGATATGACATGGCATCAGACATGGTTATTTTCTGACCCCGACCACTTCTCATCTGTGGTCGCCCCGTGCTTCATTACATTACATTAAAATTTTTTATTAAAATCAATGGAGAAGATACAAAATATTTAACATATGATTACACCATTAATACACAAGTGCAGAAGATCAACTATGACAAGATTGAGCCATGATTGGACTCTAACTTTGTAAGTACAACCTCCATATATGTCAGACTTTTTCAACTAAATCACATCCTTTAGGAAAAATAGTTAATTTAGTCAAATAACAATCAACTATCCATGTCTTAATGCTAAAGTATTTATATAACTAATGATGTTATAAATAGTAATTGAGGGAGAAGCATATAGATGTTGTCATGGTTTTATGATGCTTTTCTCCTCCTATATTCCTCTCTCTGTATCTCGTTAGAGCCTAGACCACATAGTTTTTATAATTGAATACATAAACTCCAAAGCAATGAACTCATAAGTTTTTTTTCTGATCTAAACCAAATGTATCCTCTACAAAATACAATTTGCTTAATAAACAGTAAAACTCTGCCTCCATTTATTTAAAATATCTTCATACCCAACACTCAAACTACAAATTACCATTGAGTTTCAATTACGCCAAAGACTTACCAGAAGTAAATATTATTCAAAATTAACTTGCTGAATAGTGCTGATAACTTGGGCATTACAGAATAATAATCCAACAAAAATGTCTGACCAAGTCAATCCTAGAAAGGAAAAATGAGAAAAGAACCTACCGGACATAAGCTTGCAGAACAATCATGGTATTGCCTTATAACTTAACGCAGAAAATAAAAAATTTAGAAGAAATGAGAAAAACCACAGAACAAGAGATTGAAGACGAAAAAGGAACACGTGAACTTACAATTCTCTAGAAGAGACTGAAACAAGAGGTTTTTTGAGTTGTGAACTTGTGCTACCAACTTCCCATGACCTCTTCATTTCTAAAGATAATAATGAAAAATAAGATAAATGAACAAAAATAACAAGAAACTAAGCTTAACAAAGAGAATTAAAAAAATAATTTTTCATTACTTCACTAAAAACAACATAACTATAGTTTGCTGCCACGGAATAGTGTTCAAACTTCAAACACGCTTGTACACAGTGCATCTGATACGGTGGGTATAATATACAGGTGCGCTCGTCCAACAAGGTTTACTTTTTATTTTAAAAAGTAGGCTTCACAATTATTAAGTTTAAAGATTTAAAAAAAGAGAAGAATAAATAGCTTATTTAATTCCAAAAATTTGTGGACAATGTCACTATTTAAATACATGATTTGAATATATATATATATATATATATATATATATATATATATATATATATATATATAAAGTTGTTTAAAAAAATAAGCAACCTTTTTTTATTTTAAACAATTTTATATTTAAAACCTATATTACAAAATATCTATTATTTACGCTATTTAAAATATACGAAATTTTCTTATTTTATTCAAAAGTAATATATTGACTAAAATTCAACTAAAAAAAATAAAATGTAAAAGTTAAATATTTTTATAGATAAAATATTAGTAACGAAGATTAGATAGAGGATTCTTCTAAAATATTTTTGTGATATTGAAGTATATTTTACACTTCTAAATATTTATATTAATGTCCATTAAATTTGTTTAAGAAGGTAAAAAAACATTAATTTAAAATTGAAAATATTATACTTACTTTTCAAAGAACTTGAATCAGGGTGCATGCCAAAAGTTGTATCAGAGTCATCATCAGATTCTTCATCCCTCCAAGGAGATTTTCGCTTCTTAGATAAATGCTCTTCATTAGTACTGTCACGATCATAGTCTCCATGGTTCTTTTCCTTCGCACCATGCCTCTGATTTCGATCAGTCTCTGTCAAACTCCTATCAAGTTCTTCTTCTTCCTCGGATTTAATGTGCATCGTTCTGCCTCTCTTTCTGGGAGGTAGATCGTCGTCCAAGGAAAGTGTAATTTGATATTCACTTGGCAAGAAAGTGTTAAATCGCAAAAGTAGATCATTGTGCCCTTTCAACAACTCCTTCATTCTCGCTATCACACCTTCTACATCAACTCTATAATGAATAATAGAGAAACAAATCCTTAGAAAATATAATAGACAAAGAAAGATAAAAATCTTTGGAGGTGGAGAATGTAATACAAGATGTTCATACCTTCGAGCCTTGAAACCCTTGGTAATTTCCAAAAAGGCTTCATACTTTTCTGTCTTATCTCGAAACACGTACCGTAGTGCACTGCAATATGCCAAGGCCTCATTTCTGATTAGTCTCTCATCATCACCACTACTCATTTGTGGTTGCTCCGCGCTTCATTATATATATATCAAAACAAAAACATTAAAACCATTGGGGAAGAGAAGAAGATATAGGGTTTAGCACAATACTACACCATTAGAAACAAGTAAGAAGATACAGAAATATTAAATTTCTTTCAAAATTTTCTATTTAAACACGTTTTATAAAAATTACTACATTTAACCTTCATTGGTTTGAGTTAAGTTATGTTTGTGTATTTTCATTTTTTTTAGTCTAACCTTAGAGGTGGTTGAGTTAGTAAGTTTAGTTAATTGGATAACAAATTTTTTGAGAGACCAAAATATTTTTTTTAGAATATATAAAAGTGTTGAATTAAAATTTATAGAAAAAAAGGTGGTGAATTGGAACCTTAGAAACAAAAAATAACATTGTGATAGAAAAAAATGTCCCTTCAATTGAATCTTCCTATCCAAGTAAAATCAGTAAAATAAGTAAACGGCAAAACTCTCCCTTCAATTAATTAAAATAGTAGTAGAAAAAAAAAAAACTTAGAAGAAACAAGAAGAAGAGATAGAAGATATTACAGTTCTCCTCCAGAAGAGATCGAAACAAGGGGGCGTTTGGATTGTGAACTTGTGCTTCCATATTCCCATGTGCTCTTCATTGCTGACCATAACAATAAAAAATAAGATAAATAAATGAAAAATAACAAGAGACCAATCCTAAAAGATTCAAGAAACAAATTTGCATTACTTCAGCGTAAAACAACGTAACGATGATTCGCCGCAACGAAGAGAGAGAATTCAAACTTCAAATTTCGATAACAGGTCTACAGGGTGAAGAGGATCCTTAGTAGTGGGTATATATATATATATACATAAGGTGTTCAATAAGGTTTTACCTTTATTAATTTATCAATTTGAAAATTGTAATTGTACCGTACGTATCCTGTGTAAAGATTATTTTTAAATCATTTTAGATGTTTTAATAAAGGTAACTATATATACCAAAAGATAATTTTTTGGATTCTAATCTAATGATATCTTATCTAAAAATGAAAAATCAAATGAAGTGAAAATAATAAAAAAATCATCTTTTTATTGGATTGAATGTCATAAATGATTTAAAAATCAATTCAATAGAAAACAGTTGTAAAATAGATTCTGAATATATCATTTAACCTTATAAACTTATGATAATGTTTGCGTAACGATAGGAATATAAGTTATTGAGTTGAGTAAATTATTTATAATACTATATATTTAAAGAATTATATTATTATTAATTATAAAAATTCTTATTAAATAATATTTTTCTTGTTTTGTTAATGGTTTTTTCCACTGTCGTTGAAGACAGATTTCGTTACGGTAATAAGATAGTGGTTTATCCATCATTCTCAGAAACCAGAATTTTTCATTATGTCAATTTATCATATTTTTATAATTTTTACGTAATTTTATTTATCAAATGTTCTTCTTAGGAGAAAAATAAAATAAAATTTAAAAATAAAGAATACTTAATCACAATCATTCTAGTTCAATTATATATATATATATATATATATATATATATATATATATATATATATAATAATAATGAGTGTTTACATATTTTGAAATGTTTGGATCACTACAATAAAAAACACCTTTAGCGACTGATTTAGCAATCGATTTAATTTTGATCGCAATTAACGACCGACTTAACAACTGATTTAATTCGGTCATAATTAGCAATCGATTTAGCGACCGATTTAATTTGGTTGTAATTAGCGACAAAGTTAATTCAGTCGCAATTTAGCTACTGTTTTAGCGACCGATTTAATATGGTCGCAATTTAGCGACCGATTTAACCACCAAAATATGATTTAGTCTCACTTTTTTATTTAGCAACCAAAATAGTAACCAATAGTTTGCATCGCAAAATTTCGATCATTAAATCGGTAGCTATTTCATACTAAAATAAAAAATCATTTAGCAATTGATTTAGTGACCGAATTACAAATTAAAATAATAACGAATTTAAATCGATCGCTAATGAACATTATTTTTTTATTATATTTAAATTTATTTTTTTAATAAATATATTTTAATTGTTTTAGTAAATTTTTTACAATTTATTTTTTAAAAGTAATTTATTTTTTAAAAGTAATTTATTTTTTAAAAATAATTTAACTTTTAAAATATACTTTGAAAATAAACTTTGGTCTCAATATTAACAAAATGAAGATTAACTTAATTTTAAATTACTAAAATAAAAATATTATAATAAATTAATACTAGAGTAATGTTAATTATTCAATACATTGTTTAAGAAAAGTTTAATAACAAATATTCTTTAATTTATTTTTCAATTGAAATTTTCAATTGAAATTAAATTATATTTTAAAAGTTTATATTAAAAAAATTAAACACATCAAATTATCACATTTTAATTCCTCATTAACTTAATTAATTAAAAAATTACAATTTCAATCAAATTATTATAATTTTATTTTATAATACTTTATTTTTAATCTAATTTTTAAATTTATTGCTTTATTATTATTAATTACTTAACCATGATTGTTTTCATATAATTGATATACCAGAAAAAAAATTATATCAATATACATTATATAATAAATATATTATTTAATTAAATTATTTATACAAATATATTTATCTTTAGTTAAAATATTTTTTAGTTTAAGTATACTAATTAATATTTTTCATTTTTAACATAATTAATAACAAAGATAAAAAATAGACTGCTAGAAAAGTTAAAAATTTAAAATTCATCTATTTTATAAATACTAAAAATAAACCATATTTAAATAAATTTAAAATATATTTAAATTTATATTCAACATACCTCCAATTTTGCTTAATAAATTCATAAATCACATTTGGAAACTTCATAACTTAGATAACTTCAAATTTATTAACTTTTTTTTTCAAAACCAAGTTTTTCTTGTCAGTTTTTTCGAAAAAACAGTTAATGTAATTTAAGGTTGTGCCTTTTTAAAATTTCAACTTTTTTACATATTGGATTTTCATTAAAAAATTTCTAAAATTACATAAGAAAATAGAGATTTAATTATACTTTTAATAAATTTAAGATAATACTAGTTTTTATTTTTATTTTTAAATATTTATTTTAATTTTTTAAAACAGAGAAACTATAATTTTAGTTTCTAAATACTAAATTTAAAGAATTAAATTTATTATTATTTAATCTTTTAATTTTAGTATTAAAAATTTAAATTATATTTTATTAAATTAAAATAATTACAATATATTTTTCTACTTTGAGAATTAAAAATATAATTAAACTAAAATTGAAAATATTATAATACATTTTTGAACTCTTTTTTATAATATTTTTATCATTATTATATTTTTGGATTAATTGTTTTTTCCTAATTTTTTATAAAGTCAATTTTAATATTTAAAAGTATTTAACATTTTGAATTCTGAAACTTTTTCTCTATTAGCAAATTTAAAAACATAATATACTAAAAAAGTATTATACATAATTATTTCATCCAAAATTTTAATAATATGATAAGTCATTAAATTCATACATAAAACAAATTTAATGATAGATTAAAATAGAACAACATTTATAAGAGACTATTTATTTTTATTTATGATAGATCAAAAGTAGAAATACATTTAAATTTATAATTTTATTTATGAAACACATTTAAATTTATAATTTTATTTATGAAACACATTTAAATTTATAATTTTATTTATGAAACACATTTAAATTTATAATTAACGAAAAATAATGAAAATATTAATATAATATGATACTTTTAGTAATGTATTTTTTTTATAAATTTAAACTTACTTTTTTTAGTTTAGTTTTTAAATTTTATGTATTATTATTATTATTAATTAATATACTATAATAAATTTATATAAAAATAGTCTTTATCTTGAAAATTCACTTTTTCAAATTTTATCTTTATATTTTTCTATTGTTTCTTTATAGTTAAGAAGGTCAATATTTGTGCACACACTTAAATATAATATAAAGTAAAGAGTAATTTTTTATTCTATTTTATTTCCAATCTATAATTTGAGTTTTTTTAAAATATATTTTATATTTATAAAATTAATAATTTTAATGTAGTTATCTAAACTTTTGATGTGATGATTTTAATTAATTGAGATTATCGAACCATTTAATTTAATTTATTATAGTAAAAATTATAAAAATAAATGTTAAAATAATATTAATTATTTTAAATTATAAGAAAATAAATAATAAAAATAGAAAATAAAGTATTCTATAAAAGAATACTAATTATTACAAAGATAAAATAGAATATGAGAGGAGATGAGGATAATAATATAGTAAAAATGATAGAGTTTTAAAAAAATGTAGAATGTGAGAAGTTTAAAAAAAAAAGTTGAAAAGTATATATATATATATATATATATATATATATATAATTTGATTAAATTTATTATTCCCTCATATATTATTATACATTATTAGTGTAATTTTAGTTTAATTAAAAATTAGAATACAAATATACTATATTATACTAATATACCATTATATTATAATATTTATAATTTATTTTCATTGTGTATAAATTACAAAACTAATAATTTTTAAAAATTTTAATGATAATTTTTTTAACTTATATATTACAAAATATTTTTTAATACTTTAATAAATATAACTTTTTTTAAATATTTTCATCAATTGAAAGTATAATTTTTTAATATTTTTTAGTATTTTTTTAAATGTGGATATCTTTAATATTTTGGACATGTAAATATAATTTATACATGTTTTTAAACTTTTTTCTAATATTTGTTTTAAAAATATAATATTATTTTTAATATTTCATATTTATGTTTTAAATTTTTTTTCTTAAATATATAAAAATATAAATATATAAAGATATAAATGTATAAATATATAGATAAATATATAAATATATAAATATGTAAAGATATTAATATATATCTTTAATATTTGTATATGTAAATATAATTTATATATATTTTTAAACTTTTTTTAATATTTGTTTTTAAAAATATAATATTATTTTTAAAATTTAATATTTAAATTTTTAATTTTTTTAAATATATAAATGTATAAAGATATAAATAAATATATAAATATATTTGTATTAATAGATTTTATATTTATATGTTTCTACGGATATATGTTTATTTGTATATAAATAAATTATATTTATAAATTTTTATTGAAAAATCCTAGTAGACTTAGTGGTTGTAGTGTCAATCTCCGAATTCGAGTCAAACTTTCTAATTAAAAAATATAATGAATAATAAAAATATAATATAAATAGAGGTTTAGATAAATAAAAGAATTGTAAATAAATAAATAAAAATAATTAATTTTGTCATTGATTTAGTAACCGATTTTTTAATATTAGCAACTAAATTTATTTTTTCTTGTCATGGATATATTGCGATATACACGTTTACAAGATGTTTTCTCATTTTAAAAGAATTAAGTTATGAAATATTTTAAATTCATTAAACAGATATTGTCACAATTGGGATTTCAACCAGACCACGAAATCTTATTAAGAAATGAATAATAGAGTCACCACAAATCTTTAGTATGGAAAACATAGAAAAAATTATTCAAAAACGGAAAGTGTTATCTTCTTTCCACGTTTATTATAATCATGATTATCCATAATTAATTAAATATAATATTATATTTTATAATAAAATAGTTAAAAGTTAAATTAAATTGTATTTATTAAGTTTTTTTATAACTTATATTTCTTTAAAATTAATATTATGAAAATAATTATCAAAAAATATGTTAATATTCTTTTAACTTTTTTTTACCTATAAAATTAGATTAAATATTTTTTATAGAAATAATTGTAAATTGATATTTTTAAATTTTATTTTATTTTAATTCAATGTAAGATTTTTAACCAAATTTCATAATTATAAAAATAAAAGTTAATAGAAGTGTATAATTAACTCAAGTTATTATAATTTTTTTTATTTATATTATTATCATTACAACAAATCTTATTAATTTGGGAAAAAAGATGTCGTTATCTTAAAATGTATCCTTGCCCTATAAAATTAGAAGCACGTTACAATTGATTGACAATTTTATTCTTTATTTACAGTTTTTTTTTTTAATAATTTAACCTATATAATCTAGTTATTAATTTAATTATATTTTAAATGAAAAAATGTTTTTATTACTTTAATTATATCTTAAATGAAAATATGTTTTTATTAAATCTGGATAAAAATAAGATATTAGATAAATATTTGTGAATAAATATATTTATATTAAATTTATAATTTTATATTATTTTTATATTATGAATAAATATTAAAGTTGATAAATATTTTATTTTAAAATTTATTAATTTATTAATAATATTTGTTTTTCAGTTGATTCTTATATAATTGCAAAGAAAGAATTTGAACAATTTAGCCTCTCTATCTTAGTTTTATTATAAAAAAAAATAAAGATGACTAATACATAATAAATAAAAAAATATGTAATTAAAGATAAATTAAATAAATAATATATAAAAATCATAGAATAAAATGGGTGATACTTTCATTTGAATAATTATAATTATAAATAAAATAATAAATATCTTTTCTTAACATAATAATTATAATTTATAAATGATACATCAGCATTTCACAAAGAGTATTTATATATTTTATTTTATTTTTCCTTTTTTTTTCTCTCTTTCTCCCTCTTCATCCTCTTTTTTCCTCTCTTTTTTTCCTTTTTTTTTTACCTCTCCTAACTTCAATTTATACTTAAAATTTTACTTATTTTATTTTTAATTTTCATATAACACGTTAAAATTTATTATATAATTTTCTTTTAAATAAAATATATTAAATTATAATATTTTTTTAGTTTAAACATTTTTATAATAAAAGACCCATTTTTTTTAAATTCATTTAAAATATTAATAATATATATGTTACAAAAATAATAATTAATTATTGAAAAAGGTTGGCTTATCTCTTATAAAAAAAGGATAAGGTTATAATTAATAACAATAAAATAATAAATAAAAAAATTGCTGGATAGGGTAAGGAATTTTTATGGAGAATAAAAGAAAGAAAGAGAAAAAAAAAAAGAAAAGGAAGTGATAGAAATGCGGGAAAAGAGGAAGTGAGTAGGAGAAGTAAGATATATAAGTATCTCGAGATATAATTTTTTTTTTAAAGATTTAATAAAAAATATTCAATTTTTAATATATATCTAAATTAATAACTAAACTATATATTAATAAAAAGAGACGTGACACTTTTTTTTAATTAATTATTTTTTAAAATCTATTTTATTAATAATTTAAATAATAATAAAATTTTAAATAAATAAATAGATTTTTATTATAAAAGTATTTAAATTATTAAAAAAATATTATAATCTAATATATTATATTTTTAAAATTTTACATTAAGATGTTACCTGTTGTCAATATTTATGTTAAATTATTAAAATTAAATATTTTATTAAATATGTCATTATTATTTTAACTTTTATTTATAAATTAGATAATAATTTACATCCTAATTTTTATAATTGTAAAAATATTACATCCAACTAATTGAATATATATTTTTTAAATATTATTATAATATTTTAAATTAAAACAAAATTTTTTTTATCTTAACTAATGATGTCCAGAAACCCGTTAAATGGTGAATAGTTAATCAGTCTTTTTTTTTAATATATAAAACCTATTCAAACTATAAAAATATAAAGTAAAATTATAAAAAAAAACTCTTACAAAGTTCTAGGATAAACAAATTAAATTAATTATTTATTTAAAATTATTAACATTTTAATTTATAGGCATTTAATTTAGATAAAATATTTTAAATATAAAATTTAGAACTAAAAAAATGTTACATCTACATAATTACTTCTCTAATAATTTTTTATTATTTGTTATATTTAAAAAGTAATTAAAATGAAATAAAGAATAAAATAAGAAGTATAAAATGATTTTTTTTACATATTACTATAACTTGAAAGTAATGTTATATAGATTGTAAATTATAAAGTAAATCATGAACAAAATTTGGTGTTCATGATTATTATAACAATTTTATTTCTACCACGAAACTAGTCACCGTGCTCCTATCCGTTGCTTTAAAAAAACATATGTATGATAATCTTTAAAAATATGTATGAGACACAAAATAATATACACTAATCATAATTAAAATATAAACTAATATAAAAAAATAAAAATTTATGAATATCTTTATTCAGAATTTTAAATCATTAAGTTATTAACGTAATTTTGTAAGCAACTTATCCCACTTACTGTTTAAGCTGAATTGGGTTGAAATATTCTAAAATTTTACATTAACCAACTTAATGTCTGTTTCGCTTGGACAGAACTTGTGATTGATTAGGTTATTCATAAATTGATCGCTAATTTGCAGATTTTAGCTTTTTTAATTCTTGTTTATATAAAGTAATTAAATTCTAAATATTCTTGTACAACTTTAAAATTAAAAGAATAAACCAAACAGACACAAAAAATAGATAAACATTTACTATATTTTTGTGTTCTCTCACTTATCGCAGATTTTTGAATTATGCAGTACCGGTGAAGAGAATGTCATGATAACTTTGAGAAGCTTTGGTTGATTAGATTGTAGAAAATCCATATTATCATTATGAGCTTCTGTGAGCTAATCTAGCAAAGATATTACTATCATATATTTACCAACTTTAGACTCAAATAATGGGTGGTGAAATTTTCCATTTCAAAGCAAGCACAGTTTAATTAGTTACTCTTTTTTTTTTTTTTTTTTTTTCAACACCACAAGGCAGTGTTTATTTTTAGATGTTCATGCCACACACCTATCATGCATACAGATTTTCACAATCGGACATGTCAAATCCCTTCACACACATTAAGTAAAGGCTGCTCCTGAAGTACCCGGAAAAAACTGTTTCAACTCACCAAGAAAATCTTCATGGCCTTGGAAAAGTGCTGTAACCTGGACAAGCCAAATCACTATAAAAATAAGTGTCTAAATTATGACTAACAATGAGACTCTGAGTAATGTTACATGAGGGGATGGAAAACCTGGAAAGATCAACCAACAAACCTTAAACTTCTTTTATAAGGTAAAATCAGTTTTTGCACTGCTTTTATAAAAAAATATAAATTTACGTGTTTATGAGTAAGTTTATTGAAACAAAGCTATATATATATATATATATAACCAAATAGCTAGCATATTCACAGTCACAGGACCTCACAGACCTCCTTGTAAGCCTCAGTAATAGACTTCTTTTCCTCACTCAATGTGTTCATTATGTCTAGAAAGGATCTGTAAACGTTAACATGATCATTCCCATGAAACCGAGTCTGCATGAAAACAACACATTTAGACTCAACGGTGATGATTTTGACATAAAACATAAAACATAAAGCAATATTATATTACTGCAACAATGTCATAGATCCAAACACGCTTATCTGCTATTAAACATATATACTTACATGACAGAATCCACATTCAACAGATTTTACCTTAACTTTGTTCACAAAATTCGTAGCTGCTTCATATCCACCAGGCCTAGGAGGGGGGCTTTTGTCCGCCAATGGAAGTTTTGATTTGATATTCATCTGGCAAGAAGGTGTTAAATCCCGAAATCAAATCAGTATGTTCTTTAAACACCTCCTTCACTCTTGCCACCACACCCTCAATGTCAATTCTACGAAGGAATGGAAGAGACAAATCAATTTTTGTGAACAGAATTTAATTTCCCACCAGAATAATACAAAAAAAAAATGCTTGAAGTGAGGGAGAAAATGTTGAAAAGACCAAGAAGATTAAGTTCTAAAAACTTCTTTAAGTTTTAGAGACTATTAGAATTGTAAACTCTATGTAAGTATCTTCTAGAATTACTAGAAAAATCTAGAATGATAAGTTAAAGTGTAATAGGAAGAATAATCTCTAAGGTTCTAGAAGATTCTAGAGAGGAGTGTCTCATGCCTATATATAGATGGTGATCCCTCACTTGAAGTGTAGCACTTCCAAGATCAATTATTATCTTTCCTCATACAAACCTTCTCGTATTTGCCCACATCTTTCTAAAAACTATTTTCTACACAAATTTTACTACTAAACATCAAATCATTTTTCATATCCTTCCTAAAATACTAACAGTGGTACCAGAGCTACGTTCGATCATCTATTGGGCATAGATAAAATCCAACCACCTTCAAAAAGTTCTATTATATTTCATACTAATTTCAACCAATGGCTAATGTCAACTCTTCTTCATCTATTCATCTATCTATCTTCACGGGAGAAAATTATGATTTTTGGAGTATTAAAATGAAGACATTTTTTTGCTTTCAAGATCTGGGGGAGATTGTTGAAGATGGCTTCATTATTCCTACAGATATTTCTATATTAACAGCAGCTCAGAAGGAAGAGTTGAAAGAGAACAAGCAAAAAGATTCAAAGACATTATATTTTCTATAACAAGTTGTGGTTGATGTAATTTTTCCAAGAATAATGGATGTCACAAGTGTCAAAGAAGCGTGGAGTACACTACAGGAGGAGTTTCAAGGAAGTGTAAAGGTACACACCATTAAACTTCAAACTCTAAGACATGAGTTTGAATTATTGAGTATGAAGGAATCTGAGACCATTAAAGACTATTATACTAAAATCAAAGAGATAATTAGTCAAATGAGAGCATGTGGGGAAAAAATTCTGCACAAGAAAATTGTTGAAAAAATTTTAATTTCTATTCCCCACAAATATGATGCAATTGTGACAATAATTAAACAAATCAAAGATCTGTCTATCTTATGGGTGATAGAACTAATAGGGTCTCTTGAAGCATATGAGCAAAGATTGAAAATGTATAATGAAGATTTTGTCGAATATGTCTTTCAATCAAAACTCACGATTTTAGAATAAAGAAATTGGAGAAAAGAAAATTGAAAAAATTTCTAAAAATAAAGAAAACTCTCAAAATATCTCCAAGTCTAGTCAAGATAAATTTCTTCCTTGTGGCATCTGCAAAAAGTCAAGTCACTTGGAGAAAGATTGTTGGCATCATGAAAAATCTCAATGCCAACATTGCAAGAAGTTTAGACATGCAGATATTGTCGCATAAAAAACAAGCATCAAGCAAATTTTGCTAAAAAACATGACCTTTAGCAACATCTTTTCTATGCTACCCGAGATGCCAATGATGAAACAAGCAAAAACTGGTATTTGGATAACGGATGTAGTAATCACATGGCCAAAGACGAAAATATCTTCAGGGACATTGACAACTCTGTCAAAGTGAAAGTTCGATTGGGAAATGGCACACTAGTAGAGTCAAAAGGAAGAGGCACCGTTACAGTGAAACTAAGAAAGGTACGAGACTTATTAAAGATGTCTTACTTGTTCCCAATCTTAGAGAAAATCTCTTGAGCATTGGACAAATGATGGAGAAAGGTTATGCTCTTCACTTCAAAGGAGATACATGTAAAATCTATAACAATAAAAGACGAGAGATAGGAGAAGTAAAAATGGAGAAAAGAAATAGAAGTTTTCCTATAAGCTTCAAATATACTACTGATATTGCTATGAAAATTCAAGTTGATGATTCATGGTTTTCAGATAGAAGGTTTGGACACTTCAACACTCAGGCTTTGAAGCTTTTACATCAGAAGAATATGATGAGAGATCTCCCTTACCTGAAAGAGAATAATAAAGCTTATGAAGGATGTTTTCTCGGGAAGCAACATAGATTACCATTTTCAACCGACAGAGCATGGAGAACAAAAGGTTTGTTGGAATTAATTCATACAGACATTTGTGGACCGATGAGGACACCGTCACTAAACAATAACAGGTACTTTATCATTTTCATCGATGACTTTTCTAGAATGACCTGGGTTTACTTCATCAAAGAAAAACCAGAAGTCCTTGAAATATTCAACAAGTTTAAAGTTCTCATCGAGAAACAAAGTGAAAGACACATAAAAGTTCTTAGAAGTGATCAAGGTAAAGAATATAACTCACACGAGTTTGATAAATTCTGTGAAGATGAAGGAATAGAAAGACAACTTACAGTTGCATATGCACCACAACAAAATGGTGCATCAGAAAGAAAAAATCGCACAGTGATGGAGATGGCGAGATCAATGCTGAAGGAGAAAGGCTTGCCAAATATGTTTTGGGCAGAAGCGGTCTACACTACCGTGTATATACTCAATAGATGTCCAACTAAGGCAGTTCAAGATAAGACTCTAATTAAAACTTGGAGTAGGCAAAAGTCATCAGCTAAACACTTAAGAGTTTTTGGATCTATCTACTACATACATGTGCCAGATCAAAAAGGGCACAAATTAGAAGACAAAACTACACAAGAAATCTTCTTGGAATATAACATACAAACAAAAGGCTATAGAGTTTATAACTTGTAGATAAAGAAGCTCACCATCAGTCGAGATGTTGAGGTTGATGAAAATGCTTCTTGGAATTGGGAAGAAGGAAGAATCATGAGAAACAACATCTTCCTTCCAGTACAACAATCTCAAAAAGAAATTCAAGAAGTGGCAAAAGATCCAGGTACACTTCCTTTATCTGTACAACAAGATTTTTCACCAGAATCTACTCCTAGGAGAGTAAGATCCTTGGTGGATATATATGAAACATGCAACATGACAATGCTTAAGCCTGAATGCTATGAAGAGGTTGCAAAGCAAGAAGTCTGGATCAAGGCAATGGAGGAAGAAATTAAAATAATCGAAAAGAATAATACTTGGGAACTAGTAGATTGTCCACATGGAAAAGACGTAATTGGAGTAAAATGGGTTTATAAAACAAAGCTCAATCCTAACGGTACCATACAAAAGCACAAGGCTAGGCTAGTAGCAAAGGGCTATTCACAATAATCTGGAATTGACTATAACGAGGCATTTGTCCCAATTGCTCATCTAGGTACAATTAGAGATTTAATAGCTCTTGCAACACAAAAAGGATGGAGCGTTCACCAATTGGATGTCAAATCAGCCTTTCTAAATGGTGTACTAGAAGAAGAGATATACGTGGAGTAACCACAAGGCTTTATAAGCAAAGGAAATAAAGCCAAAGTATTAAGGCCAACTCCTTGAGCATGGTACAATAGAATTGATCAGTACTTCACTAATCAATGATTTAGGAGGAGCAAGAGTGAGCCAACACTATATACCAAGACTCAAGATCAGTATGATATTCTCATTGTCTCTCTATATGTAATGATTTTATCTACACAGGAAACAATAAAGAGATGATAAGGGAATTCAAAGAAGGCATGATGAAAACATTTGAAATGAGCGACCTTGGCTTGATGAATTATTTTCTTGGCATAGAGGTAAGACAACAAAAGGAAGGTATATTTATCTTTCAAAAGAAATACACCGAGGCTTTATTAAAGAAATTCAAGATGTATGGTTGCAAATCTGTGGCTACTCCACTCGTGACAAATGAGAAGTTACAAAAAGATGATGGAGCACCAAAAACTGACGCATCACGCTACAGAAGTTTGATTGGAAGCTTACTATATCTTACCGCTACACGACCAGATATCATGTATGCTACAAGTCTTCTATCAAGGTTCATGCAAAGACCAAGTCAAATTCACTTTGGAGCAGCAAAAAGGGTTTTAAGATATCTACAAGACACAAAAGACTTTGGTATATGGTACAAAACTATGAACAACTCAAAGTTGATTGGCTACACTGATAGTGATTGGGCAGGATCTATAGATGACATGAAGAATACATCAGGTTATGTCTTCTCACTTGGATCGGGATTTTTCTCTTGGGCATCTAAGAAGCAAGCAACAGTAGCACAATCAACAGTAAAGGCAGGGTACATGGCTGCAGCTGAGACTACAAGTCAAGCTATATGGTTCCGAAGAATACTTGAAGAGATGAGAAAACAACAACATGAATCTACTACGATTTACTGTGATAACAAGTCAGCGATAACAATGACAAAGAATCTTGTCCATCATCAAAGAACAAAACATATAGCTATTAAATATCACTTAATCAGAGAGGCTGAAGTGACTAAACAAATTCAACTTGAGTACTGCACTACAGAAGATCAAATTGCAGACATATTTACCAAGGCACTACCAAGAGCCAAGTTTAAACAGTTACGTTTCATGTTTGGAGTTATAGAAATTTGCTTCAAGAAGGAGTGTTGAAAAGTGATGCAAATTCTAGAAAGATCAAGAAAATTAAGTTCTAAAAACTTCCTTAAGTTCTAGAGACTATTAGAATTGTAAACTCTATGTAAGTAGCCTCTAGAATTACTAGAAAAATCTAGAATGATAAGTTAAAGTGTAATATAGGAATAATCATCTCTAAGTTCCTAGAAGATTAGAGAGTAGTGTCTCATGTCTATATATAGGTGGTGACCCCCTCACTTGAAGTGTAGCACTTCCAAGATCAATTACTATCTTCCCTCATACAAACATTTTTTTATTTGCCCATCTTTTTCTAAAAATTATTTTCTACACAAATCTTACTACTAAACATCAAACCATCTTTTCTCTCCTTCTTAAAGTACTAACAGAAATTGTGTTATACCAGTAGTGCAAAATGATCGAACCTTTTCTCTCGGAAATCCTTCATGAAACGTCATAAAGTAATCATACTCTTCCCTCTTATCTTGTAATACATCTTTCACTTTCTTCAGATATGCTAAGGCATCCTCTCGAGTAATTGGTACTTTACCACCTTCACTCATCATTTGGGGTTTCAAATTCCTGAGATTCGTAAGTTCATAGAATATTTAGAGTTTAGACATGTGCAGAGATTGACGACAATAATATTAAACAACAACAAACACAATTTTAAAAGAAACATGTGACTTTGTCTGACGAAGCCAAATATTAAAGGAAAAACAAAATCAATATAAGTTATATTGATTTGCGGCAGCGAATGTATACCTGAACAACAGAATACATAAAGAAAACAACAAGCTTCCCAGTTATATAAAAAAGAACCAAGCTTTTAGTCTCTAAATTAAATTCAGATTTTAATTATTTTGTAATAGTAAGTTAAAATAATCATTCCGTCTGTCACTGAAAAGGAAAACTTTCATTTAATAATAACTTTTATTTTTTACACTTTAGTATTAATTACCAAAAAAATAACAATTATGAATACATCGATCGTGTTAAAAAATTCATAAGTAAAATCATAAGAATGAAAGAATCCTAATTACTTTTTTCCCTTTTTACAATCTTTTAATATTTTCAACTTTTAAATATATATATAGGTATAATTAATGTCAAATAATATTTGTTGTTATTTTTTATCACAGAAAAATATAATATTCAGAAATAAATTGATAGTAAAATAATATTCAGAGTTATATTAATTTAAACCCACTAAATTAGTCACCAGAGATCAGAGATAGACGAAATTGATAAATATTTTATGCTAATATATTACTAAAAAAATAGTCTCATCCTCCATAAATATGCATATGCATACTCTTTTTTTATGTTGAAATATAAAATTAAGTTCATATAATTTAATATCCTTAAAACAATTTCTCTTCATATAGAATGTATTTCAAAATGTTCACTTACAATATAATATTAATTATAATATTCATCGTCCCTTCTTATATTAAAATATACGATTTACATAACATGCATTACCAAATTTTTATATATATATATATATATATATATATATATATATATGAGAGAGAGAGAGAGAGAGAGAGAGAGGTTGAAAGAGTTTTGATGAGAAGCTGTGGGTGACAAAACTTACACTTCATTTTTTTATTTTATGGATGCGATGATAAAATGTGACAAAAAATATTATTTACGTATATTTAATTTTGGTTTGATTTTTTTTAATTATATGATTAACAGCTTCTAAATATCATTTTATTATTTAACAGTATTTTATTTTAAAACATTTATTTATTTTTATAAATTATTTTAAAAAATATATATATATATATATATATATATATAAATCATTTTATTAATTTTATATTGTATTATTTATTTATGATAAATGATTGACGTCTGAACAGTATCACATTTATTCTTATCTTCCCTATTTTATTATTTATTTAAAATGAGTAGTTTCAACAAACATTAAACTCATTACTTATACACATATATTTCTACCAACAATCATAAGCATTTAAAAATCTTTATACAATAACAAAATATTATAATTCAACATGAGAGAAGTCAAATAAAATTATATTGATAGGTTGAATAGTTTATTTTGTCTTTTAAAATGTATAACTTTTCTAGTTCTTCGATTCAAATAAATAAATAATCCTTAAAAAATAACTTTCTTTTTCTTTCTCGATTCATATATATTTTTATTAAAATAGAATTTGGTAATAATAATTCAGCAATTATATTATATTTAGATCTGCTAATATAATTTAGGTGTCATATATAAATTAATTTGTGTTTTATATTATATTGAATCACATTTCAATGTTAATATATAAAGACTTATTTAAATAAAAATAAATATGATAAATAAGAATTACTTTTAGAAACTTTAATTATTTAAATTTATTTAAATTTTAAAACTAAATTGAAGTTTAACCATTCCATCGTTTATTAAAGTTTGATCTTTTAATTTAATTTTTTTTACAAAGAAATTAAGTTATATAATTAATAGTTTTAATTTCATACAATTACTATGATTTTCTTAATGTAACCTTTCATATAATTGCAATATTCCTTTTCATTTTCTTTTATTTTATCAGTCTACAATGTATAAGAATATAATAGATAAAAAAAAGTTGAATTAATTAATTTATAATGATAATTGAATTGGAACAATTTATTTTCCTAAAACTTTGAACAAAATGAAATTGAGGGATATAGATTTAAAGTTTTATCAAATTGAGGTCATTCTTATTTTACATTTTTTTTAGTATTATGAAAAAAAAAACTTTACGACAAAAGAAAAAGTTAAGGAACAAAAATAGTAAAGAAAAAAACAAAAAAGTAGAAGAATCTTGTTATAGCCTTATAGGTATAAATAAGAAAAGCTGAATAAAAAAATAGAAAGAGTTTAAAGAATAAAGAGACAATTAATTCATTCACACAATGGAAACTAAATAAATCATAAAATAATTATTTTAAAAATAAAAAAATTATTATTTTTTTAGAAATTTATATATTTATTTTCAATATATTTTTTAAAATGGGTAAAATGAGCCATTAATAGGAAATACGAAGTAAACCCCGGAATAACTAAACAATCTACTTTTATAACAACACATTCTATATAAAGTCAATATCTTATAACTCAATATTCAACGAACAGTTTATGCTCTGAGTTTTGTTGTCATAGGTTCACAAGCTTATTCTGCAAACACAATCCCAATTTAACAGAGTTGGTTAAGTCTTTGATCTATTGACCAACACAAAACAATTCTTTGCTTATCATAAATGAAGTAGAGCTTCCTCTTAATCCTTGGGTGGCAAGAAAAAAGTGAAATCACGAACAAGATCATGGTGACCCTTAAAAAGCCTTTTAATCTACAGAAGTTGAACATATATATCACTAAAGTGAATCAGAAAGAAGAAATTCAAGAGCAGATAGATAGACAACACTTACTTCATTGAACACTTGCTGAACAGGCATGTGATTTTGCTTCCTACTAGATAATATCTTCACAAATGTACTGTAGATATGATATTTGTTTCGAAAACGATCCTGCATGAAAAGAAACCAATCAAGTTTTTTCAATTTATATTGGCACCACAAAAACAATATCTTATATTAAAAGTAATTATATTAATTCTTAAAGACCATATAGAATTTCGTTGACTTGTATTTGTTTGATGTATATTGGCATCACAAAAAACAATATTTCACCTTAATCTTCTGCACATATTTGACAGCATCTTCCATCTGAACTGCACCCTTGGGTGGAAGAAGGATTTCATATCCCTTTGGCAAGAACTTGTTAAATCCCAGAATGAGATCATCATGGCATCTGAGAATCTCCCCCACTTGTTCCACCACAGTCCCAACATCAATTCTACAAATGAATAAAACATATCTTTTGAGAAACACAAGAGATAAGCATGTCTATTATACTAATGTGGGAAATTTAAGGAAAAAATGTGGTTCAACTTGATCCAACCTATGAATTCTAAAATAGGTCATGATATCCAAAAACTTTTGGAACTCTTCGTTCTTGTCTTCAAATTTCTTTTGCACTTCTCTTAGATATTCTATGGCTTCCGTTTTTGTCATTTTTTCACGACCTTCACTCATTGTTTGATAACGAAACACTGCCTGAGCATGACAACCAGAACAAACCAATTCAAATAATCATGAGAAATACAGATATAATCATAGTCAATTATTTTCACCAACAACTGTAGGAACTCATTAGTTGAGATGAAGATGCAATATGTATGTTTTGTCAGTGCATGCATTGATAAAAATAAAACAAGAGAACGATCCTTGAAACAAACTTACAACAACAAATATAGATTAACTTATAATATCATTCTAATAATCTTACAAATGATCACTGAGGAAGAGATAAAATATCTTAACAAGAATATCAAGAGATATTTATTATATCAATTAACATAGGTGGTATTAAAGATTCAAACTAAATTTATGAATAAAGATCCTCATTTATATTTAGTCTAATATCTTTGGAATATTATTGAATTAACTCTTATACCAGAAAACTATAAATATAATTACAAATCAAATACAAAATATTTAGAATATATATAGTGTGTGTAGTATATGTACTTGATGATAAAATTTGTTAAATAATTTGCATAAAGGGAATGAAAAGAGAGAAGTACAAAGATTTTCCTCTTTTTTTTTTTTTTTTAAGATTTCAATTTATTCCTATAGGGTATAAACTATATTGAAGAATATAAATTTATTGGTTACATTTATTTTATGCATAAGAACATAAGCTTTTTTGATAATAATAATAATAATATCAAGTGTGTGCTAGCTATAGAATTCTAAAATTTCAGCCATACTATGAAATTATGAAAAAATAAAAATAAAAAGGCTTACATAGAATAGTGATTGCATAGGACATGAATTCTAAGAGATAGGACTAAGGACATAGTATCCACAAGGATAAGGACAAATAGTGACAATAGGACAATGGCCTCCTTCTTTGACACCCTTATCTATAATCAAAATTATTTTTTCTTAATTTACTTTTTAAAACAAAAATATTTCTCTTGTTAAAATAAGGGTTTTCTCAATTCCTATGTTAACTTGTATACTTCATACGAAAATAAGTTCCATTCACCCATGGCCTCCTTGAAAATAATTTATATATACGAACCAATTTCAACACCAAAAACCCCTATTCCTTCTCATATATTACTCCTTAACATGCTATACCACAACTATTGTGCTCTCTTCATTCACCACCACCAATTTTTCAGTAGTGCTAAATTCAACTCCACCATTCTTTTCCTTACAAACCATAGTACTTTTGTAACATCTACACACCTTCCCCATAATAAAGAAAAGTAAAATAAAATAAATAAATAAAAAATGAAGTAAAAAGATCGTACCTTTTTAGTGCCTTGAAGAAGGAACGCAAGTAGATCGAGAAGGAATTTGAATCGATTTGTATAATATAGTTTCAAGAATTTAATTTGTTTAAAATAGATTAAAAGTATAAACTAAAATATCAAGATATTAGAATTTATTAATAATGTTAAACTGTTTAATACATACATGAATATTTATTAAGTATTAATAAACGTGTTATGTACTTTACCTTTAAAATATTAATGCATTCATAAATATTTTCGAGAAAAAAATAGTATTTTTTTTTAAGTAATACTCATTAAGTGTAATGATAAATTATTAATTATATTTTAAAAAATTTAGTTGATAGTTTTTCTAAAACTTTAAATATCTTTTATAATCTAACAGACTTGAGTATGTTTTTAATTTAAAGTGAGAGTGCTTTGATTTTATTTTGTATAAAAAAATTGTATTCCATTCTCGAAAATTTAAAATTATTATTTTAGTTTTCATAAAATGAGAATTTTAGTTTTATAGATTGTAAAATATTTTTCTCTGATTTTAATTCTTATATATGTGGAATCACTAGTTTTATAATTATTTATAGAATTAAGCGCAGTTATAATCATGTCAGCATAAAAATGATATTACAATAGTACATAAATTAAAACAACTATTAAGATATTAACTTTTATTACAAAAATAAATTGTTTGAAGAATACATGATATATATATATATATATATATATATATATATATATATATATATATTTAAACACAAAAATCACGTTTTGTATATGGGTTTGATTAAATTCAAACTGCAATACATTGGTTAAATTTTATATTTATCTTTTTATTAAAACTAATTAGTCCATTATTAATTTATTTGAATTAAATAAGTTTTTTCATTAAAATTAATTCAACTCAATCCGTTCTCTAACGGTTTGAATTGAATGAGTTGATAGAGTTGTGGATTTTAAATATATTTTTATTAAAACTTATAATTATAATTTTAGGATATTTTTTAAAAATACACTATATTTAAATAATTTATTTTATAAAATACATATTTAACTGATAGACTAATTGAACAAATTAAATAATAATAATAATAATAATTATTATTATTATTATTATTATTATTTTATAATTTTGATTTAATTTCTTGAGTATATTTTTTTTGTTATATATAAAATAATTATTTATTTTAATATTTAGAAAATATTAAATAATTTTTTTGACTCTTAGAGATTACTTTTCAGTTTATTTGGGTTTTTTTTTTCGTTTGTATGAATACTACGTGAACACTGAGCAGTATAATAACTTCATACATGTAAGCCTAGTTATTATAGTCATGGTTTCAAGTTGTCTATTCAATTAAAATTGTTAAAAATATATTATAAGTACAGAAATTAAAACATCAATTGAGATATTAACATTTATTAATATAATTAATGTATTTGAAGAATACATAAATAATTTCCAGATTATTAAGAAATGTTTATTTTACTTTACCTTTACAATATTTAATGCATTCATGATCATAAAAAAAAAAAAATTAGCTTGAGCGAAAAATAGTACTACTTGTTGAATGCAGTGATAAATTGTTAATTATATTTTAAATTTTTTTTTAGTTCATAGTTATCTAGAAGTTTAAATAACTTTCTAGAAACTAATAGATTTAAATATATATTTTGTTATTATAAAATGATTTTATTTTATTTTGTATAAAAAGCTATTGATTTTAGTTCTTATAAAATAAATAGATTTGAGTTCTATATTTATATAACATTTCCATTATTTAAACTTTAAAATTTTGAAATAACTATTTTTATATATAAATTTTTCTTTATGGTAGATTAATAACTTATTACATCTAAGCCCAAGCACACTTATGATCAGACCAACATAATGTAAGTGAAGATTCATGATTTGAAATTATTTTGTAGAATTAAAGCAGTTAAAATTTGTCATAAAACACAAATTCAAACATCTAATTATGGTAAATATTTATTTTTAGCGTTTTTAATTATTACTGTTACATAAATTATTAATTAATTTCGTGAAACTTATTCATATATATATATATATATATATATACCTTAATATAACATAAAAAATAACTATTTTTTTAATTAAAAATTTAATGGAATAATTCATATTATATAAAAACCAAAGAAAATATTTTTAATTATATTTTGTTATAATTATAAATTATTAATTAGTTAAAAATTTAAATGATTGCTATCCAAAACTTTAAATAAAATTTATAAATTAATAGATTTATAATATATATTTAATCCTTATAAAATAAGTGTATATTTATTTCATTTTAAAAAAATTGTATTTAATCTCTATAAATTAATATTATTAATTATTTTTTCATAAAATGAATAAATTTTAAATTTTGTTCAGTGGAGATTTTTAATTATCTTATAATGCATTTAGGTGGATTAATAACTTAATACATTTATAATCAATGCCGTCTAATAAAAAAAAACTTAATATATCTCAATACAGTGAACTTTTTTCTAGAATGAAATTTATTAAAATTATATTAAAAATACATAAATTAACATATCAATCAAGATATTTTATTTTAATTAAAACATTTTAAGAATGTATGGAGCTCTAATTTAGTTGGATGAATAGGATATATAAGTTATTTAAAATTTGTTGACATGTATTTAATTATTTCGAATTAGAAAAAATTGAAGAGTATATGTAAAATATTAGTGTTTGAATAAAGGTTGAAAGGTGTTCTGGTAATTTAAAATATATTTTTTCTACATTAATGAATAATTCTTAAAAATAACTTTTATTTACATGTTATCATGTAATTTAGTATATATAGATTAAATCATATTTTATTTTGATATAAACAATTAAATTATATTTTAATGATGATATATAAAAAATTAAAATAAAAAATATTATAAGAAATAAAAAAATATTTTAAAAAATATTAATTCATTTAAATTTATTATTATATTAAAAATTGTATACACTTAAAAAAATCAAATTGACAAATTCTTTAAATGTATACGTTATTTCACTTTTAAATTATATTAATATTTAATGTGTTTATGAATATTGTCGATACTTTTTTTAAAGGACAGTACTAATCATTGAATGCAACGATAAAATTCATGTAATTATCCAAAACTTTAAATAAATTTTATAAATTATTATAAATATGTATTTGATCTTTATAAAATAAATGTGAGTTTAAGTGTATTTTGTATAATAAATAATCGATTTCAATCTCACTAAAATTATTGATTTTGGTTTCTATAAAATAATTAAAAGTTTTAGTTTAGTTATTTAAAATAATTTTTAATTTAAATTTTAAGAAATTTGAAAAAACTAGTTTTAGTATTTCAAAATGATTTTGAAGGTATAGAACAACTTAAAGTATAATCAACCCGACATATCGTGACTTTTTCTCATAAATAATATTATTTTTAAAAATATTTTCTAAAATAGTACATCCGAAACATTATTTCCTCAAATAACACTTTTTACTTGTTCACGTATTAAAATAATCGATTATTTTAGATTATGATCGATTATTTCGCACAAGATCAACTCTCGCTCAAGCGAAGAAACCCTTCACTTGAGCGAGGAGACCTGTAACAAATGGGTAATCTCGGGTCAATTCTCGCTCAAGCGAATCAAGTGACGGGTACTTTCGCTTGAGCGAGAAGTGATTAAAATATATGGTGACCTAAGTTGCATTATGTGGCTAACTG